TGGGGTAGAAGTAGAGGTGCAGAATGCATTAGGGGAAGATGTAGGGGTAGATGAGGAAGAAATTCTGTTTGAGATGAAAGTTTGAGTTGGTTCCTTTGGGGAAGCAGTGATCTTTTGAACCAAATTTGATTCATTAATATTTAATTTGGATTTAAATTAAATCTTATGGTACATTAAGCTTGAATATGTTGCATTAGTTGTAAGCAGGATTTTGGCAAATTGATAATGTATCAATTTGAACCAAAGCCTACCACCAGGTCTCAAGTTCAAATTAGGGAAAGAGAAACTTAGAGTAGATCAGAGCTTTGGTGAAAAAAAAACTGTCTAAGAGTAGAGTGAAAGCCGCCATAAAAGGGACTCACATCTGTGCCCCACAAGAGGGCGCCCCACAACATTCTACAGAACATTCTCGCCGTGTATTAAGAACATCTCCCAATGATGTATAATGTCATCATCCTGAAATGTTCCTGGCCAGGATGTACTGTGGAACGCTGTGGGGCGCCCCCTTATGGGGAACAGATCTTAACTCCCATAAAAGAGCTACTTGAAGCAGAGTGAAAAAAACTACCTTGAGTTGAGTGGAGTGACAGTCATCATGTAAAGGGCTACCTACATACTTTCGAGAAAAGGTCTACCTGATGCCAAAGTGAGATCTATTGAGACATCAACTATGGAAGTATAGTGATATGTTATAGTCCTAAAGGTTAACCGACTTGACTTGATGTGTTCCAATAGTCTCAAGGCTTTTGTTGTATTAGTCAAGTATGTAACATCTTATTTATTGGATTTAGATCAAATCAGGACGGAATTTAGATATATTGCATGAATATCATTAGTAAATTTAAGTAACTTAACAAAATATTATTTATATCTATATAAATATATTAAGCTAAAATATGTATGAAGATGAGGGAAATGGAATTTAACAGTATTTTTTGCCTTTTTTCATAGAAATTACAAGAATGTTACTCGCTACCAACTCTCTCTCTTTTGTTTTTTTTCTTTCAAATTACAAGAATGCCACTCTCTTTCCTACCAACTCTCTCTCTTTTGTTTTTTTTCTTTCAAATTACAAGAATACCATTTCTCTCTCTCTCTCTCCTTATAAATTACAAGAATGTCACTCTCTCTCCAACTAAGGGAGACCTCAACTCGGCATGTCGGCTGCTAGGGGACCTGCAATCAAAGGTAGTTGAGTTCGAGTCGAGCCAATCTCGAACTTCTGAGCATAAACTCAAGTCTTTAATTCAAATCGAGCTCGAGCTAGATGACACCTCAGCCATTGAGGGAGACCTCGGCTTGGCACCTTGTCAACTAAGGGAGACCTTAGCTTGACACCTTGCCTGCTTGGGAAGCCTCAGCTTGGCACTTCAGCAGGTAAGGGAGACCTCAATTTGGCACCTTGGCAACTGAGGGAGACCTCGGTTGCTTGAAAGACCTGTAATCAAAGGTAGCCGAGCTTGAACTTCTAAGTTTTTTACTCGAGCCAAGCTCGAACTCGAGCTCAAGTCTTTAATTAGAATCGAGCTCAAGCCTAATAGTTTATGAGCGGGCCCTTGGAACGCAGGGAAATGGAATCTAACAATATTTTTTGCCTTTTTTCATTGAAATTACAAGAATGCCACTCTCTACCAACTCTCTCTCTTTTTCTTGCAAATTACAAGAATGCCACTCTCTCTCCTACCAATTCTCTCTCTTTTTCTTACAAATTATAAGAATGTCATATCTCTCCTTATAAATTACAAGAATGTCACTCTCTCTCCAACTGAAAAACTAATCTCTATGTATTTAATGTCATCGATCCCTTTATGACAATGAAATAATGAAATAATGTCATCGATCCCTCTATGTGTTACTCTACCCACTATTCATAAGGGCAACGTATAGCTTAAGAAGATCTTCCTATGTGTTGAGAGTAGGAAAAATCAATTTTCATTTAGACCTGCAAAGCCCGGTTTGAAAATTATGGGCTTGGCAATGTGAATCCCTGCAAGCAAAAACTCGACACATACTCTGCAAGCATGGGAATCTAATTGCACATTGATTTCCCCATGGATTTAACATACATGTACGGGAGATATTCTCCATGTGCGATTGGATGCTATGTGTGTAGAGCTTTTGCTCACAGATCTAGGCTCCTAATCCTGGCCTAGGTTTTGTTTTCAGGCCCAACCCTGGCCCGGACCTACATCAAGCCCACAGATAATAGAATTTATACAGATTTATACATGTTATTTTATTTTACATTGTATATTTTATATATAAATATTATAATATGACATGCATAGTACATGTTATATGCAATATTTTATATTATAATGTATAAAATAAATTTTATATCTGCCTTGTATGTAATATAATATAAACATTATATATATATAATATTTTATATAAAAAACCTAGGCCTGTTTTTCGGACTTGGAACCTAGTCTGGGCCGGGCCAGACCTGGGCTCAGGACAATCCCTTATCACAGGTGCAAAGCCTGATCTGGCCCATGACCAGCCTTTTAAGGAGGGTAATAAACTCAAATCTAATCATGAGGGTCCCATATTTGACAAATGAATTGCTCTTTTGCCAAATCACCCATCCACATGATAAAATACAAATAAGAGAATAAATTGTCCTGTATTGCTAGACGGTGCCTTTGTCATTTGCATCATAGTATTACTATTGTTTTATTAGACAAAATTAGTTAAACCCCTTGTGTTTTTTTTTTTTGACAAATACTTGAACCTCCCCTGTCCTTTCACCTATGCAAAAACCTACCTTCACAATTCAAATAAATATGCAATTACACCTCTTTCATTAGTTATTCTACTATAATGGAGATAAAATTATGGTTATGCCCTTGTTATGAATGTGCAGAGTACACTCTTTATTTGAGTTGGCATCTCTGCTAAGGTTATGTTTGGTTTGAAGGAAAAGGTGAAGAAAGGAAAGGAAAGGTAGGGAAACCCATACAAGGTTTGTAAAGGTTTCCCTGCATTTCCTTTCCTTTCCCTATTTTTTCCTTCAAACCAAATACAGCCTAAGGGGAGAATGTTCAACTTGGCCTTTGTTATTCACTCATTGAAGTGGACAATGAAACCCACTTAAATAAAGTGATCTGCTTTTCGGGGTAATTTGATAGATCATCATCCCAATAAAGCTTTTCATGCACAAAAATGTGGTTTTAAAAACCCTAAAGCATTATGTGGGTGCTTTCTGTCAAGACAATTAATGAAAGGGATGTGTTGCATATTTATTTGAAGCAGGAAGGGAGGTTTTTGGAGAGGTCAAAATACAGGGGAAGTTTAAATATTTGTAAAAAAACACCAATCAAAGTGTAAATAATTTCTCAATAATAATAATATTATTGTTGTTGTTGTTTATTTGATTTGCACTATGCTAGTGGAGTTGGTTTAAACATTTGATTGCGTTATGATTTCTTTCTAAACATACAAAATCTTATATTTTATATTATTTTATATGTATTTGCACTATATACATATTTGTATTTGTACTCCTTCCAAACTGAGCCTTCCATACATTACCTCTATTGTTTCCATCTCTACTGGCAAAGTTACAATCTAATTTCTCAAAATCTCTTAATTTTAATTACATTTTTCTCACACAAAGTTTTCCTACAATTAGAATGTTTTATTGTTCTTGTTTACCATCTAAATCAGTTTGTTGCTGTGAATATGTAGTTATATTCTATATCTTGAACCCAGGTCTCTTGTGAAACAACTGAAAATGGGTTGAGATTGCTAACATAAATGAAATTATAAGTTAATCCATAAGCTTCCTGAAAGGAAATTGGTTGTGTATGTTTTTTCCAAGGAATATTTTACAATTTGTTCATGTGTGTATTTTCCTGAAATATAAACACCATCATCATTATCATCATCAAAATCTCTTTTTAGATCTAATGGATTACAAAACGGGGGTAGTCCATCCCCCAAATCCATAACTAGGGGTGATCATCAAAAACTGAAAAATGGAAAGATCAACCGAACCAATGAGACCAAACCAAAAATTCCAATTAATTGAATCAGCCAGTTTGGTAATTTCAAAAAACCGAAGGTATGGATTTAGTTTCAAATAACTAATACAAAAAACTGGCGATTAGTATACATATATTATATATATTTTTTATATTATCTATATATTGTAAATTAATATATACATTATATATAAATATATACATTTATAAGATATAATATTATTTATTATTTATAATATAATATTTTATATGTACTTCTAGCTTTTTATTATATATTTATAGATTTGTTTATAATATGTATTATAAATATAAAAAACTAAAAACCAACGCCAAACTGATGGTTAATCAAACTGGTCAATTGATTAACCGATCAGCTTCGATTCAGTTTCAATTACCAATTTTCCAAAAACTATAATATCTAAACCGAACCGTTAACACCCCAACCATGGTGCAAGTGGGATTCAATCGCTACGATTAATAGGAAACTTTACCAACCAGCTAGTTGGCAGATCATATCAACACTAATGAACTGGATCCCATGAATCCTGTTTCACCACTCAAATCTGTTTAATGCCATATATTCATTGTGTAGTTATGAATGTTTAAATTCTATTTCCACCCATGTCGTTTTTGTTTAGCCCTAAACCTTCTAATCCCTTCAACTTGCAACAGATCACCATCCCGTTCTTTGAAATATAAAATTATAGGAAATATGATACCCTAAAAGAAAGTCATTAAACTTGAATGTTTCACATTCTTGATTTAAAATAAAAGATTCTATATTAGTAAATGAAACGTCCCCGCCTCAAAAGAGAACATTGGCTGACATTAAAAAAATAAATCGAACTTCTAATACACTGTCACTGTCAGACAAAAAAAAGAAGAATGAGTTTGTAACATTATTCGGGGAAGTTTAGAAATTAATTTTAATTTTATGAGTAGAGATAAAAGTAAAACAGATAAAATCATCTAACAAAACACTGGAACTTTCTTTATTACCGCTTGAAACAAAATAGAGCCTCTCTCCGATGAGGGGGGCACAGGAAGCGGAAGGCCCTAGTCGTCTCTTTGGGTGTGTCTTAGCTTTCATTCATCAGTCCATGTTATTCAGGGAAAAAGGCTGGAGATGGATCAACCAAAAGGGTTGAAGGGATTATTTTCTAGTTTTGCAGGAGGATTCGTAGCTCGTGATGGTTTTTTCGTCCGATTTGCAGCGTTTGGTTGTTTTGAGGGATTTAGGGTTTTCATATAACCTGGTTTTGTTTTCATAGGTTATAATCGCTAGCTATTAATGAACTGAATAGAAAGATCAAGACGTGCCAAAATTTCGTTGCGATCCAACTGATCTCACTCTGTGAAATTGACCAGGAGGCACTTCGCATACTCTCTTGAAACATCCGCATGTGAAGCACTTCAGGTGACTCTCTCTCTCTCTCTCTCTCTCTCTCTTACATATAATCAAAAGTTCTAAACTGAACTTCTGAAACTGTGTTCTAGAAATGCTACCCATACCTTATAGCCATGACAACGATGGAGAGAACAGTAACAGTATGCTGGTCCAAGTGGTTGAAACTTCTGAGGATCCATGGATACCATTTGAAGACGATATCTTTACCGGTCAGGAGGACTCGAGCTCGTTCCTGCATCAAGAAGATCTGATCATGGTGCAACCATCTGTGGCTGAAGGGTTGATTGCAGCTAGCGACTATCAGAATAGTAAAGAGAAAGCTGGTAGGCAGAGGCGCTTTCAGACTGGGAAGTCAGTGGTGCAACCTGGTGCGGATGAGGAGTTGGTCGTGAAGAAACTCGATCATAACGCAAAGGAAAGGGTACGCAGGATGAAGCTCAATTCCTCCTACTTGGCTCTTCGCTCATTGCTACCAGATTCTCGTAGATCAAAGGTTGTCCCGCCACCATTCTTTCTCTGTCGAAGCTCAATCTGTTGAATTAATATAGGGGATTTTGGTTAGAATAGCAGACACTTGAAGCACAACAGCCTAGCTGCTGCTCTATGTTGTTTCCTAACCAGATTATTCAATCTGACCCAACTCAATGTTTCACAACCAACCGGATATTCCAGGTGACCCATTTCAGTTATAGTAAAGAACGTAAAAGACCCAACCTTCAGAGAGCTTATCTTGAAGAACTTAATACATAGCAACCATTACAACTGGGTTTGGTGCTGTTAACCCCATCATTTTTTTTCTATCCAACTAAATATGATCAACCCATTTCTACCCAAGATTTGGAGATATGAAGTCTCCATGCCCATCAATCCTTTTGGTTCATTCAGTAAGATGTTGCAGAGAAGTGTTCTCTGTCTAATTTGTTTGTCTATGATCTTGCAGAAGAAATGGAGCGCTCCTGTTATAGTGGGTAAAGTTCTAGAATACATTCCAGAGTTGGAGTCTGAGATTGAGAATCTTACTCAGAGGAAGGAACAAATGCTGTCCATCGTAGAAAAGAGGCAAATTCCCACCCAAGGTTCACCTTCAGAATCCAAAACTCCCACAGTTTCAGTAAGTGAAGTTAGAAAAGGAGAAGTGATAGTTCAAATATGCATTCAGAGAGAAAATTCCAGTGTTTTCTCTACTCTACTAGCTAATGCTGAAGGTGAAGGAATGCAAATTGTCAGCAGTTCGGCTCTTTCAGTCTCTGATGACAGAGTTTGCTACCATCTACATCTTCATGTAATTTTCTCATCTTATATCTTGTCTTTCTATTTTCCACTTAATCCCCACTTCCTCGACTAGTAGTATTGTTATCATCAGCAGCACACAAGTAGTAAAATCAAACTGCAACAAGAACTACAAAATTGGCGAAGTTGGGGATATCTGTTATTGCCGAACTATCAGCCCGGTCTATGACAGTGATGAGATAAATAAAATTAAGCATTCACACAATGAATTGGCTAACTCTAACACAAAATCCACTGGGTTCCTCGGGTTCAATGAATTATTATGCAGATTAGTTCCCCAGAATAACCAAACCTCTCCCAGAGTAACTGCTCTTATAATCAGTTTGCTGTTGCTATTGATGTGGGCCACTTGGATCTTATAATTTTGTGATCTCCTCCATTGATCAGGTGAGTGGAAGATCACCAAGAGCCGACTACATTGCAGTGTTAAGGACAAAGATACTTTCTTGGTTGTGCGGGAGATCATCTATTTCGGATGACAGAAACGTCTAACTGAAAGTCCTCTGTGAACGAAGATGGAAATTGGTAAACAAGTGTTTACATCAACAGATATATCATATTTTTCTTTTTTCTGTTTTTGAGTATTGCTCCAATTCTATGGATGTCTCCGAAGAGACATCTCAATTGTATTCGGGAGTACAATAAAATTCAATGACAAAAGTAGCAGAAGGCATGTGAACTGTACATGGTTCGGAGGATTTCCTACATGCACTGTGTAAGATTAGCAAAATTCCATCATGAAGATGTACAGTTAAATTACTATTTTTCTCAACTTTTTATTTTATTTAACCTTTTCTCGTCTCTCTTCACTCGGAAAATTTACCATTTCTCTATTGCTCTTATCTTCATTAAATGACGAGAGGATTTCATGGTCATCAGAAAGTTACAGCAGGTTCATGTGAGAGTAAATTCTAATTACAACTCCAGCCCTATCCGCTCTCGCTTTTCCTTGTGCAAGTATTTGGTTTTGTCGGTGATTTATACCTTAGACCCATGTGGAGAGATGAAGTCTTCAGTCCATTGGTTCCGTTTATATTTATTGAGTAAATGTTTTGTTATTATGTGAGTGCAGAATTGAGAAAAGTAATTAATGAAAGCATTTATGACATATAGGTGCCATTAAGCACTACATTAATAAATTGCCAATAAACACCTGCCCTTTTTAGGATGGAGTTTCCTAAAATGGGAAAGGGGCATAGAAATCAATGTTTCCTTTTATTGATGGGACACGTATACACCGTTTACTCAATAAACTTAAACAAAACCAAACACATACTAAGTGTGTATTTATTCTATGGGCATTTCAGGCGCAAGGGTTGAATCACTGTTTGGTTCACCCGTTTATTTAAAAAATGATAAAAAACTGAAACGCATGGATTTGTGTGCCCAGAGCCATTGGGGGTAGTGACAAATTATTGTTTATTCCAATGACATGGCGTTTCCCAAAACTGGTTGCTGGTGTGGCGTCAACGTGGATGCCGACATGGTGATTTGATTCGCTTGATCCCATACATTGCGGATCACAAAACAAGATAACCCTTTTTCGCCCTTTTCACACTAATGTGTCTGAAGAAGGAATTTACCCTGAGAACTACCGCATTCGTTTCGTCCGAAGAGAATTATCATGGCAGTTCACGACTTCCCCGTTCTTTGTCGTCAATAAGACCACCGTCAACCTGAAACGTTCTACAATTTCCATTGTTGCCAATATTGACATTCTCTCTCTCTTTCTCTCTCTCCAGATCCTATTACCGTCCCGCAAGTCTCCCTCGTGAACAGAACTCCTAGGGCTCTTCTTCCCGTTGTCGACAACCCTGAGTGTTTATTGCCATAACTCACCTCAAAGGGAAGAACAGGGAATGGCTATTCCCTCAAATGGGAAATGCCATTCAAATAGGAATGAGAATAGGATTCCAATTTCACCCAATAGTTAAAATTGAAATAATTCAGTCTGATTCCGATTTCAGATCCCAATTCCTACGAAACAAATGGGGCCTAAGGATTCGTATTTTTCCTAAAAAAAAAGAATCCTGATTGCCAGAACAAAGTTTGAGTTTAGCCAAACCCAACTAGAGCAGATTCATATTATCCCCACGAGTGACTTGCATGCTTTTTACAAGGAGCTAGAAAGCTGCTTTGATAGTGTGTTGTAATATTTAAATGGCTAAATTTGATAACTATACCTCCACTGGTCTATGTTTTTAATTGAGCTATAGGTGACAATTGACATGACATTGAGATATTAATATTTGGATCAAATTAAATCTTATATGTTGAATTTTGAGAGAATTTAGAATATTTAAAAAAATGATAAGAATATCAATTGGTGGACCCTTATTGGATCAATTATAGAAGGATCAAATTCATTGGATCAAGAACTTCAATTCCATTAGATTTGAATTCCAATATAGACAAACAGACACCATTACCATTTGCAGCTCTAGTTATTTTCAGGTGGGTCGTCCAGTAATTGGTCCCTTTCACAGACGGCAGGCTTTGTTTGGCCGTGCCCATGTCCCTACTGTTGCCCTAGAGTGCATGGCCGCTTCCATCAGCGTTCACTGATAGGAGAAGGAACATGGGGATGAAGATCAAAGTAAGATTTTGGTTTTTTGGGCATTTGATGCATTGACACTGGACGACTATGAAAGTTTTTTTTTCCGGCTGCAACATCTATCTTCTCTCTCTCCCTCTCGACTCTCTTTTTTTTGGGTTCGACAATTGATTAAAAAGCCACCCAGAAACAGAGTAAAGTCCGAGTATTGAGACTTCTCTTTTAGATGGGTATGGAGAAGCTTCATTAGTAAGGAAAGTTAAAAGGGAATGAATTGAAGGATCAATTAACAGTTCAAAGTTCAAACCGTCTGCTTATCTCAAACCATCACATATACATCTAGGGTTCTGCAATTAGATCTCATAATCATTTTAAGATGGTCGGCCATCCAAGCACACAACTTCCACTACCAGAGATTATCATAAGATCACTTCAACAAAATTTCTGGTTCAGAGATGATAAGAGATGGTTGGGCCTCGTGCAGGAAACGAAAGGGGACATATGGATCAGTGGATTACAACCGACTGATTACAACGAATGGAAATAACTGGGGACTCAAAATCCTATTAACATAGGCAGAAAACCACTTAGCACCACCCACACCATAACGCACATAGTTTAACAGAGCTTAACATCACTTCTATAAGTTTTAGCAGTCGCATCCATAGTTCAAAAATACAAGAAATTGAATACCCAGATGCTAAAGATGAAAATAAATACATCAAAGCAAGCCAAGATGCACTGATTTATAAAGAAGAAATCAATTTGTTAAAGAGAGAAGATGTAACAGAAGAGCCAAACTCACAAACCATGTAACCAGGAATGCAAGCATTAAACCTCTGTTTCAAGACTGATTGATCGATTTTGGGAGAAGAACCAAAAGATGGGGCGGCAACTGATTACTATGGTCAGGAATCTTCTAGAACCAGAGCCGCTTTTCCCATTCTTCCCCAGACTCCACAAAAACCCTAGAGCTAGATTTTTATAGTGACGTTTCAAGGGCCATGGTGGGCCTCTTAACGTCTCATGGGCCGATCCTTGCCCTTGGTGTTAAAATGAAAATTGGGCTAGATCAACCGAATGGTCTGGATCCACAAGACCCATAACCAATATGGCCCCATTTTTTGCCATGTTTAATTACGAGAATTGAACTCTAAGATTTGATGGGTCTCACCAACGGGATTAGCATCAAGTCATTCACTATTAAATAACTAATAGATCTAATGCCATGCAAGTTCTTTCTTTTAAAGACAATATAGGAAGTAAGAACCTATGTAATGGTCTGGTCTTCCTCACCAGAGAAGGCTGATCTTCCAAGCAATCTTTGCCAAGTGGAAAAAATACAACCTTTCCTTCGGATAAATTTAATATAAAAAACATTGAAATTTGGAATTATCAATATTCCTTGTGGAAGACACCAATAAAATGATGGTCACCAGATCAGATTCGCCACATCATTCCTCCATTAGGTTGAAATATTTTGAGGTGTAGGTAAAATCTCTACTTGACCCAATTGAGAATAATTTATCGAGGTGAACAAAATTTGTGGCCATCAGCTGTCTTTAGAATGGAATTTTCACTAGACTAAAATTTTGTCTTTAGAAAACAAAATTTGTTTTCATAGGTTAAAATCTCTACTTGACCCAATTCATTATTTTACAGTGCAATTTCATATATATCTATATCTCTCTATACTATCTATAAGAGTATAAATAGATGCAGTTGACTTTTGGAATTTTCACTAGACTAAAATACCCCTTCTTTAAGGTTTGAATCAGAGTGGAGAAATGGTAAATATGTAATTTGGTTTTCTCATTAATGTTTATTAGGAAATGTCTATTCTTTATTACAAAAAAGACACAAAAATTCATTCTTTTTGTGCAAAAATGTTATTTAGCATTCCCATTTAATGCTTGTTAGGGAAAATATAAAAAAAAATCCTCTTTTTGTTTAATAATAGGAAAACAAACCATGGTAATTGCTGAAATCTCCATTGAGGTTTTTGACCATTGTCCAAACCTTCCCTGCAGTTTGGTAATTGCAATCACCTCCCCTAAACTTCTTGACACAATTGCAAGTAGACCCCTTTTCTAAAATCTTCTAATAAGAGGTATGAAAATGTCCAAAATACTCATGTAATTATTATTGAGGCTGGTTTATACATAAAAAACAATTTAAATGTTATGAACTACAAAAAAAGAAAGTTTAAAATTGCAATTTTACCTTTGAGCAATTGATATGAAGGGCAAATTAGGAAAATACATCAATTTCGAGAAGGAAATTAGAAGGGACTGGGGTAGTGATTTATATGAAGAAAATTTGGGAAATAAACATTTTGGCCAAAAGTAACTACATAGGTATTTTGGATATTTTTGTGATGTTTGTTAGAAGATTCTAGTATGGGTTTACTTAAAACTGTGTCAAAAAGTTCATGGGAGGTAATTGTATTTACCAAACTTTGGGGGGGTTCAACAATGATCAACAATTTTACGAGACGTTTTAGAAATTTACCCTTTTCATTTATTTAAATTAAAAAAAAAAGAACAGACATGAAAGTACATCTTATGTTCTAAATAGCAAATGTTGAGTCACATTAACCACCATGAAGAGATTTCCAACTTGTAAATGGATGATTAAGGTAGTTGATGGTTTTCTCTTCTTTATTTCCAACATATGGTGGGTTAATTTTTCACTTCAATCACCTTAAAGCCCATATTATTGGATGACAAGATATCTGCAAGAGCAAGTGATATTTTTTATAACAATTCATTGTAAGGTTTTCAGCGGTGAAAGAAGCTAAAGTTGGATTTATCATATAGAAGTTAATTCTTGCAAAGGTAACAAAAATTCAAATAAAATTTTGATGAAGGTAACAGAGAAGTATGGACAGTAGGGGTGATCATTTCAGCCTGGCTCGAGCCCACATCAGGCCCGCAAATTTTAGGGTTGGGCTTGGGCTTAATACTTCAAGCCCGGCCCGCATATGTAATATTTTATATTATATAATATAATATATAAAATAAAAGTTTATATGCATGTTATGTCATTTAATATAAAATATTATAGATATGTAATGTTTTATATATGAAAGACATTGGCCCGAAATCAAGCCCAGCCTAGGCCCATGTAGACCTGGGCTAGGCCAGGCCCGGGCCCAGGCCTAAGCTATAGCCCTTATCATAAGCCCAGCCCATGATCACCCCTA